GGTGCTGGGGGATTGAACCGCGGTCCCTGTGCTTTGCTAAGCTTGTTCTAAGTAGGTGCTTTAGACCACTGAGCCATCTCACCAGCCCCTGAATTCTTTTTTTAAGTGAAATTCTGTATTATTTTTATTTTTTTATTACTATCTTGTCTTCTCTTTAAAAAATGGTGCTGGAAAAACCATTACAACTAATTCATCAAAATATGCTCACCTGAGTTGGAAGCGTCTGCACCATGAGGAAGAGGCCTTGCAGATTTCCATGCAGCTGGGTCGAGTTGATGAAGCTGTTCATTAGAAACCTGTCCCGGGGGGTGGGGGTGGGGGTGGGGCACAGAGCAAGAGGTCTGTTCAGTATGGGAAGGAGCTGGGATGTGACATCATTAAGAACTAAGGCTTTGTGCACACAGAGGACAGCACAGCGGCAGAGGATGTCATCCGGAACCTGCACCACTGGAAGTCGCACGGGGTGAGCTCCAATGTGGAAGCCAGCAAGAACAAGAGCAGAGCTTCAGCCAAGTTACACATGGGTAACATCAGCCCCACCTGTACCAACAAAGAGCTTCAGGCCAAATTTTGAGGAATAGGGTCTAGTCATCGAATGTGACATCGTGCAGGATTATGCCTTTGTACACACAGAGCAGGTAGAAGATGCAGTGGAGGCCATCAGGGGCCTCGATAACACTGAGTTTCAAGGGGGAATGTATGTGGGCTGAAATTCTAAGCTGGGGTTGTGCATGAGAATACAGACTTCATTGGTACCCCATCTCCAAGATGTTTTTGGCTCTGTGCATTCAGTCTTTCAGGATCCGTGGACATTAATTTACCTTGCTAAGTTCAGACCTCCTTTCTTTTTCTCTCCAGTGCCCATTATCCTCTTCTTGTGTAGAAGAGGATAATACTTGTGTAGCTTCCCATTTATGTTCTGTTTTCCCAGCAGGCCTCACTGTATGCAGAAGCTGTGGTGGGGCTGCCCTGTCTCCTACCTGCCTCTTGCCTCCAGAGTGTTGGATTTGGGAATGACCTCAGTGAGAGAGTCACCTCTGCTCTTGGCTTTCTTTTAGCCCAAAGGCTAGACCTAGAATTGGATCACTTTTATCTTACCACTGAAGTAAATGGTTTTTCAACTAAAGAAAAACGCTCACCTGTCTGTGTGGCTGTTCGCTACACTTCTTGCAGAACTCAGTTGAAGGAGGGGGTGCTGGCTATTCTAGCTGTTGGGGGGAAATTCTGTGGGCTTGACTCCTTATTAGCCCTGTCATCCTACAGCCACAGCAGCCATGTGAGTACTGTCTCATCCACTTTTTGCTTTGTTTTGTCACCTTCCACTACTCCATGGCTATGTATGTTGTGTGCTGGGTAGAGGGAAGCAGACTTCTGGCCTTCCTCTTTGGGCTAGGAGTTCCTTGACCTCCACCTTCTGGTGAACAGCAAGTCTTGTATGCAAATGATGGACACATTGATAGACTTTACTTAGAGGTAGTACCTTACACTTTGGGACATGCTGTGGAGAAGGCTCTACTATCTGGGCCTGTCGTACGTTGTGGGTCAGTGCCAAAAGAAACAAGAAAACGTGATGAGTATAGCTTCAGAGGTCTCACTGAGATTAGTCTCTCCCCAAGTGAGCCCAGAGCCTCAGAAGCATCTCACATTTACTGAGGGCTCAATGCAGGCTAAGGAAGGTGCATAACTACTTAAGTGAACACAAACTACTATCTCTATTGACTTCCACCATTTGCCTAACAGTAGGTCCACACAAATGCTAGCTGATAACACCCCAAACAAGGGATCAAAGAACAGGGTGCCAGGAGAAACTGTTATCTGTAGCTTTGAGTCCCAGCTTTCTGGGATTTACATGTGAGAAACAGCAGCTCTCCTTGGGCTCTGTCCATTGCTCCCTGCTCTCTTGGGACATTAGGCTTTTGTCTTATATCTATATTTCTATATGGGCCTCTCCACATTACATGCCCAGAGGTGAGATGCTGCTCCAGGTCCTCTTCACTCTGTTGCAGTTGTCCTATCTGTATGCCTCAGTTACTCTTCTCTCATTTCTGGGACAAATACTCAACACTTAAAATGAAGGAAAGATCTATTTAGCTCACAGTTAATGGAAGTTTTAGTTCATACTCAGCTCCAAGGCACAGTGACGCATGGCAGAGAGCAAAGGGAATGGTAGCAGCTAGCCACTTCTCCCTCCTTACACTGTAATGCAAATCACCTGCCCCAGGGCAGGTGTAGCATCCATCCCACAATAGAAGCCACCCCATGACTGCATGAAGCTTTGGGCAGACAACTAGACACAAACCATAACACTGTCTGATGAGGGGTTTTGGTTTTTTAAAAATGTATTTAGTACAGGGTCTACAATGTCTCTATACAAATCGGACTCATAGTTAATTTTCCTGTTTTCAGCCACCCAAGAGTTGGGATTACAGGCACATGTTATTATGCCCAGTCTCAATGTCTCAGCATGCCCTGCGGGTGGGGGGATGAGGGGAAGGGCAGAGAAGGGCCAGCATGGCAACCCTGGACCCTGCATCTGCCTAAGCAGGCCCTTTAATCCACTGAGTTATCTGGCTGGCCCTGAGGGTTTCTGTTTCTTGTTCCTTGTGGCAGAAAAGGGTAATGAAAACTCAAGACACCCACCTAGCTAACACATAGTGGAAGGGAGTGGTCTGCACATGGAGCACTTCCACAGCTCTCAAAATACTCCTCGGCTATGGACTGACCATGTCTCAGTCCTTTGGGTACTTCCAGGCCACCAAAAAAGTGGCTATAATCAAAGCAAGGCTGTGGGGTGTGCACACTGAAACTCTCGGGGCTTTTTTTCCTCTGGCTGCTGTTTCCACAGCCTCTGCAGAGAGAATGCTTACTTCACCATCCTACTGACTATGCCTATTGTCATGGCTGAGACCTGAAGAGCTACTTTGGCAAGTGAGCTCCCAAAAGAAAAGAACACAGGAGACAGGCATCTGTTCAAAAGGCAGGCAACAGTGAGTGCCGCCCGTCTTTATTGTTTGTACAGGTGATTATCTCATATTTACCCTCCACCATGTTAACCAGTGCACGGATAGTTGCCCACTACTAAATCATCTTTGTGTGACTGTTCCCCAGTCTTTGCCTGTGCTAGATATTGGGCTTGCGTCCCAGGATGCAGGCATTTATATTTTTGTACAAATATGCCACAAAAAGATTATTTCCTGAGCAATAGAACCATAATTTGCAAGTAACTTTATTGCATCCTAGGCTTATGTTCTTAAACTTGTTCGTGGTTTTAAACTTAAAACACATACATTAAGAGAACTCTTTCAGACTAAGAAATCTAAGTTGTCTTCCAATCCCAACATCAAAGGTACGATTAGCCTGTCAGACTCTTCTGATGCTGGGACCATTGCATTTGGCTTAGATCTCTACATATTAAATGAGGACACGGATTTGTAGTAGTTTATATGAAAATAATTTTGATGTTCAGGAGTAAACTTGGAAGTCCCAAATCACTGAGCTACACTGCAGAACTTCAA